TCATTCTTCGTGAATTTGGTGATTTAGCCATTAAACCTCTGGTTTTCTGGCCACTGTGTGTGCTTAGAGTCTTGTGATTCTTTGGTTGTGATTTGTGGAGAGTTTCCCGTTCGTGTTTGAGTGATTTGGGTCCATTGAAGCGAATGCCTCTGTGTTTGTGGTTTGGGACTGTGGTTTATGAGTTTTCACATTATACAGACGGGTACTATGTGTGATCTGAGCCCAAATCGATAATAAACTTGATGTCTTTGGTCTGAGAGTTTTTCGGTCATTTGTTGAGTCGATTTTGAGTCTTTTCTTGTAACAGGTTATTGAGGTAGCAAACTAAAGAATGAAAATAATTAATTTTTTTTTTGTAATTTACCTTATTTATAATACATAAATTTGAGTACACAATTAAAAAAGTAATACAATATCATAATACACAACCAGGCAGTTCATTAGAAAAGAATTAATCTGCAAGTACATATTTTTTTAACATAATTGGTACGAAAAAAACTATTTTGGCAACAACAAAATCTATAGAAAAAATTTGTAATTATAGCATTGTTCTTTTTCCAAGCATCCCTCGAGCTTATGAAACTACTTTACTATGTATAGAACATGTTCAGTAATTATTACATACAAGAAAGACTACATTAAAAAAAAAAAAAAATCTATGTCAACATGCTATTAAATATTATAACTCCTTGCCACATAAATCCTTAAGGATTTTGCCATTTGTACCTAAAAATTGTACACAAGGAATTACATAAATGGCATGGAGGGAAAAGATTGGATAAAAAAATTGACAGTATTTTTGAACTGAGAAATGATATAATGATATGTGGTATTATGTAATCTATTATATAAAATTTGATATATATGTAGTAAGATCAAATCCTTTATTAAGAGCATGGTGTACTATCTCCGGCATAATTATTGAAGGATGGACCTCACAGACGCTTAGGATTGGGTCTTTCCATAATTGGGGGTTCTTATAGGGGACGATCTCCACTAAGTTCAGTGAATTGTCCCCTTCACTTCTGATTCTTATGGGGGACTTGATCGCTACCAGTGCGCTCATAAAATCGCATCAAATCCACCACTTCTCCGCACGCATTTGCACGTTGGGTAAATTATATATGTACCAACAGTTTACATATGCTGTAAAAAATAAAAAAAAATATAATATACTTTAAAAAAAAAAAAAAAAAAAAAAAAAAAGAAGTCAAATTGGAAAAACAAATTAAATGGCATTTTCAAAATTGTCGATTTGATATCACGTGGACACGTTAATGAAACGGCTAATCAAAGCAAACCGTTTTAAAATGGTTTGATTTGGATTTTGGTATTTTATTTGCGCTTTGGGACTATTGATCCACTTGAGAAACGATAAATAATAAATGAAAAAAAATTGTAGAGTTTTGGCAAAAACTGATCTAATTGGATAAGATTCAGACTGCCAAATTACTATCTTAAAATCCAAATAAAGTTATAACTATTAAGTTTTACGTGTGTCGTTAATTCATAAATTAATGATTTTTTTTTTTTGGATTTTCATAAATTTGAGTAGAATTCCAAAAAGCATCGATATGATTTTGACATAATTCTATCACTATTTGGTGGAGATTAAATCGAAACTTTAATATAAGTGCTAAGTCAACAATTAATTTCAACAACGTAATTCATCAACTTTTATCAAAATCTACTAAAATCAGTGCTGAATAAGAACATAAATATAAATTATAATGAATTTTGTAAGATTTTAATAGAATTTTATGTTACGTTACAGAAAATTCATAACTTCGTTGTTTCTAATTTCTTCAATCTAAAAAATACAACTAACATACGCTGTTCGATATGAAACGTTGAAAAATTACACTTTACAAAGTCAAGCAAATAAATACGACAAATTAAAAATCAGTTCAATCCAAAAAAAAGAAATTACTTTCGTTATAATGTTCAGTATTATGCACAATATACGCACTAAATTTTGTTTGATTAAAGACATATTTGATTGGTGAATACAGTTCTAAAAGCAGAATGGACCAATTGTTTTTATTCTTGGTTGTCCAAAATAAAAATTTGATTCCAAATTCTAATGAAAATGTGAACCACCCAATTATGCATTTTTATTTTTCTCTCGTAAGAATGAGAGTTAAAATGAGATATTTTCTTACTATTTACTTATTTTAGTATTTTTATTAATTTCATTTTTTGTCGACGATATAAATAGTTTTGAGTTTATATTTATGGACTCGAAATCTAATGAATTTTGAGAGGTAAAATAGTTCAATACATGTACTAATAGGTTCGAAATCCATTAAAATATGTTTGAATTCTTTCAATCAGTGAAATCCTTAGACATTCACCAATTATTATGAACAACTAGATATTAATGGAATCTATTAGAATATAAGTTGTTGAATTTTTCACTAAAATTTAAGTTGGTGACACACCACCATATAAGTGTATTTCTTACACCTATTTTGATATTAATCTTGTACATTGTGCAATTATTTAGTGGCGAGAGCGACAAAGTTTATTGGGTATGATGGTAATGGCAATTGTAGTTAGATGGGGTTCAGATCTGGAGGAGATGATGGTGTGGAGGGTAGATCGGGATAAGGTTTTACATGTGGAGGTTTATGGTAGTGGCGATGGTGTACCTAGTATGTTACCATTTATTGGAAGACGTATGTGGTGACAGCATGGTATAACAATGGATATTACAAGGGACGGTGGTGGTAGGGAAAATATTATAATAATGAATGTTACAAGTGATGGTGGTGACAGAGCTGAAAGTGACGACAATGTTAATACGACAATGAATGTTGGTAACGATTGTAGTGATGATATAAATAGACGCCAAAATGTATATAATATATCGTGTAACAAGTGGAGAAATATATATAACATAATACCATACTCCGTGTTGCGAAATGTATTGTAAAATAAAATAAAAATAATAGTTTTGAGAATAATAAAAGTATTCAAGGTGAGTTTGAAATAAAAAAAGTTTTTTTAGTGCTTGGGCTTGTTCTCCCTGGGTCTCTCTTTTATTTGGGTCTCTTTTTGTTGCTCATGATGGTCCAAGTTTTGGTCTCCTTCTGTGTTGGCTTTTGGGTATTAAGTCCTTGGTGCATTTGGGGTCCTCTTTCAAATTTTTTAGAATCAGGAAACTTCTTGAGATAAAAATAAATAAATAAATTCTAACTGTATTAGTCTAAGAAATATGCAATTGGAAAGTACAAAAGATCACTTAGGAACGTGATTATGGAAGCACTAATTAACTCGATCGTATTGGATTTTTCATACAAAGCATGATTAGCTACATTCTTATACTGGGAAAAGAAGATTGATGATCTCTGATCCGAATAGTTTTGCCTAGGGCACAACATTATGCATTATGCTAATAAAATAATAAACATGTTTTTAATGGAAAATAGAAATAATAGAAGTAATGAAATCTTA